AACACAAGAGGTCTTGACAGATTTAATTACTATATTGCATTACTATAGTATACAACTATTACTTCAAGAGAAATGCTTACTCAGTTGTTGATGAAAATAAAATACATTTGCCATAAAATGAGGTTTAATATTGTTTCAACATAGCTGTGATTTTGTTCTACATTAAGTGGGGGGGGGGGCACAACATACTCTTGCCCTCCAGATCTGAAAGTGGGGGGGCTAGTGCCCCCGCTGCCCCCCCCCCCCCCCTGTGACTACGCCTATGAAAACTAATTGTACCAGATGGATACCAACTACCAAATCGCAAATAAGAGAAATAATGGTTAGAACAATACATGCCACAAATTTTCTCAGCATTCTATAAAATAACCATCTCTCAAAATAAAATAATGCTGTTAATTACAGCACACATGTTCTACATGACATCTACTTTGTTTAATCACGAGTTCACATCTTCTCTTATTTAGTGATCCCTACATATGTCGGGTATAACTTTCCAAATTTCTCGGCTAATTCCTAATGTAGATCCTCAAGGGTGTTTGGCTTTGAGTATATATACATGTACATGTATGTTTCACCATGACTGTTTCTTTGATTTAACATGCAGTTTGAACACAAAATTTTGTTAAAAAAACGTACATGTAACCCCTTAAGCCACATAGGTCTTTATGAAGGTCTATACACATGTAGCCTCTGTCAATTTTGCAATGCTTCAAGTGATTATCTATAATCATGCTTTACATTGTTTTTGTTTTACATTGTAATCAAATACTACAATAAAATAAGAAAACATGGTTCTCTCTTTATAGTGAGTAGGTATTATTAACCTTTGTCCAGTCACCCACAAATATACGGTACATGAATATACCTAAATGTAAACTATGGTTACCAATATGACTGATGTAATTAGGAGGTTGTGACAAATGTATCATTTACAACAAGGGCACCCCTAAGCAGAGCATTCTCTCTCAAAATCTATAAAATTTATTAAGAGTTCATTGACATGGATCCCAATGGAAATTACGCATTTTCCGTTTTGCACAAGACATATACCTTCAAGCAAACATGTACACACACACACAAGATTGCCTGACTATATCACTTACAACTCTGTTGCAAGGAGATAATTAGTATTTTGGTATAAACAAGTAATAAAGAAATCACAAGAAAAGATCATGTTTCAAATGATTTACTACATTTATATTCTTATTTTGACTGATCATACAGATTCCTAAACAGAATACTTTAATATCAATTTGTTTCAGAATTTAAAAAGAAAAAAAAAGAAATTGTATCAAGCACAGGGCTATTCAAAAAATTGATTTGTGTGTTCGAAAACTTTGTAAAATACATGTATAGACAACACATATTATAAAATTTTAAAAATAATAATCATATAAAAAAAAAATGAAATATACAGAAATAATTGTAAAATCCATACATGTCTACTTTATTAGACTGTAGTCAGCACAATGTTTCCAGAAAATAATACAAAGTTACATATTGCCACAAAAAGCATTTAGTACCCACCTTGATAGCTATAAGTTACAAAGAGGTAAAATTAATAAAAAAGATAATAATTTCAACAGGCATTTTAATATATTTATGTAATACAACTAAGCATAACTGTCAAATGCGAATGCACAAAAGCATTATACATTTTTTATATGTGTTAATAGAAATAGAATTAAAGATATTTTAGTTACACTTATTAACTTAAACTTAAAGTTAAAAAATGTTATTCATTGTCTGATAATAACTATCTTTATAGGAAGTTGAAACTCCGGCAAAAAAACAGTGGAATCTTAATTTCGGCTAACTACTAAAGAGAAGGATGTTTTTCCATAAGGATGTTTCACAGTGGAACATCAAATGTTAAAAATTGCATTGTAACAACCTTTCCTCTGATACAACTATTGACATCTAACATTTGATTTGAAGTAAAAAGGAAGAAGATGGTTTTTCCCTGTGCATTACTTCTGTACATAATCATGCAGAAAAAAACAAAAAATTATTTTTTAAATAATAATTACAATCTTCATACATAGTATGAAACATGTAACAGTGCCAACCACTACTTACAGAACAATGTTTCAAAAACAAAAGATTCAAGATTTAACAAGGAAGGACATGAGTTGATGGTCATAAATAAATGACTAAAATGTAAGGGAAACTTCAACAAAAAGCGGAATAACAGATTTTGAAGGAAACAAATTAATTATCATAAATATTTGGTTAATAATAATAAGAGTAAATTCCTACACCTTAGTTTTTATCTATACTTTGTTAAAAACAGCTAAAGTCATAAAGTCCTCGTATCCCATCCTGACTGTTCCCGTTCCCGAGGGATCCCGGGATCTGAAGGCATCAGTCAGCGACTTCAACATGACACAGGACTGAATGAAGTTATCCAGCGTTAGGCTCCTGCGACCCATGATGTCAAACTTGGCAACGACTGTCTGAGCAAACTGGGGGCTTAGGTTGTATCCCATTTGTCTGTAGGCTGTGGAAATACAAAAATAATTATTCCTTTTTATTAATTTTGTTTGCAGTTGACAGACCTATGGTATATTCAATTGAATCTACATACATTTTCAAACCAATTGTTGTCTTCTGTCAATTTGATCTGCAAGTTTGTCCTCCTAACAAGGAACATACACGCTGTTACACTGTGAAATCACATATTTTCGTGAGGTCAAATTTTCCAGGTTTGAAGAAAAAATTATAGTTTGAGGGGATTTGATTTCGTGGTTGGACAATGTATAGTAATAATGCATAATAAATTTTCCATTTCGTGGTGGTAGTAAATTCATGGGTCTCTCCATACCTTGAAAACAACGAAAATTAAACCACGAAAATTGGTGATTTTACAGTATTTTTGAGCATGTGTAAGAAATCTGATAATACTGCTTTCTTTGACTGGATGAAAAGCATACATTGCCAAGATTTTTTACAGCATATTCTGTAATTCATTTGGTTCACCATTCATTTATACAAGAAAAACTCAATTTACTAACCATTACACAATTCATTAAAGTCTATGGCTCCAGATCTGTTTTGATCAAACTGTTCAAAAACTCCTTTCCATTGTTGTATATAATTCCATAAGGCTTGGAATTCATGAAGTTCAATTTGGCCACTCATATCTTTGTCAAACAAACCTATTAAGTAAAATTTATTTTCACTTGATAGTTTGATCTTCATTAACAAAATACATGTTTTGAGACACATGGAAGGAACTCTTACAATTACTTGTTATGATTCATGATATTATGTTGTTCTTTCTGAACAATAATCTTATCTATATATTCAATGGAATTCCAAACACATACAATATACATGTATGGTCTACATAATTTTGATCATGTAATAAAATACACTGCACATATATCTACATGTGCTATCTCTTGGTCTACAAACTTACAATTTATTACTTATGAGAATTATTTTTTACAATTTCAAAGAAATATTGTAATACACTGTGGACACCGCACCAAGGTATACCCATGTCCTACCCATCATTAATCTACAGGTTTCTGGGTTGAAGTGTGACCAGTTGGCATTCACCAGAGCCTGCTGTAACTCGTGTGCAGTGATGCGTCCACTGCGGTCAGAGTCTACGGTCATAAACCACTGCTGGACCTGGGGGTCAATCTGAGGCTGACCAACAAAACCTATAAATGTATACACTTAGAATCAAATATATTTATATATGATTAAGACTACATCTACATCAAGAGCAGATTGTGTAAAACAGGATATTGTCATTAAGAAATCAACATTAATAGCTCATTCTTACTTTAAAATGTTTACCATGTTCATGTTTGTTGTATAAATAATAAAATAAACAAACCTCCAGCTCCAAATCCAGCCGGGGGTGGGGGCTGACCTCCAAATCCTGGAGCCCCATACCCTGGTCCTGGGGGAGCCCCATATCCTGGCTGAGGCTGTGCCCCATATCCTCCTCCTGGTGGTCCCTGAAAAATGGTATATACAAATGTACCAGTTCACTAAAACAAGATAAACAAAGTAAACTATCATCATGATCATGCTAGGTCTAATGTTTTAGGGTGTGACCGTTGGGGGGAGTGCAGTCCTATACAAGCTTACATTTGATTATTGATCCACCTCTACAAACGTCAAATTGTACGAGACACAACCTAGACTGTGACGTCATATGACGCGGAATTCACAAAGGCAGCTCAGTGATGCTCATTGCGCTCGCTATAAAAAGTTTTAAATGAAGTAAATCTGACTTTTACAATCTGAATTAGTCTTTAACCTGAACAGAGTACAGTGGACCCTCATTTATCCGGACGCTTTGGTTCCCAATCAATTTGTCCGGATATGTGAAGCATCCGGATATCTGAATCACCAGTTAAACAAGACAAAATAACATTTAAAAATTTCGTTCCGATGAAAAATCGTCCGGATACTGAAGCATCCGGATATCTGGCGTCCGGATATCTGAAGGTCCACTGTACATGTATTGTATAGCTGCAGAACTGTAACTCTCCGAAAAAATATTTTGACAGACAGGAGAGCTACAGTGCCACCCATTGAAAAAACTGTATATTTATAGCGCACAAAAAAGTGCGCTGTTTGATTTATTTCGCCATGTTTTTAAAACTATCATCTCAAAATATTACTAACAGTGTGTCCCTAACATATTTTTTCACTGTTTCCACAATAAAACATTCCTTTTAATTGTTAATAGCCCTCCTGGCCCTGAAATCGAGATCATCAAAAATTTCGCCTATTTATACAGCCTTTTTTGATTTGCTAGATAATTCGGCCCAATGCGCTTTGTGTAGATGTCAACTATGAAAGTACTTGATAGAGGAGTACAAATTTTTTTGAAATCTAATTTTTTTGGAATTAAGGTAAGAATTTGGAAGAATCCATAACCATGATAACCAAGCGCAACTTTTTGAGCACAATAGGAGGCACTGTAGCTCTCCAGTCTGTCAAAATATTTTTTCGGAGAGCTACAGTTCTGCAGCTAAGTATTGTACTGTAAGTATTAACACTTGTGTCTTGTTTAAGTGAACTTCCTGGTACAAAGTGTCATAATATTTTACCATACGTACTCCATCAAACAATTTTTCAAGGAAGTACCCTAAGATTTTTACCGGTGGTTGAAAAATGAAATAAAACACATGCTTTCTTTAAGCAGGAATACATTTATACATATGTCTAAATTGCCATTAAGCATGAGGGGGTGTGTTCTTTGTTAATCAGCAGCAGCAGCAGCAAATTTTAAAGTACAGCCAAAAGGTGTAAATGGCAATGTTTTCTGTATGCTTATGTAAAATGCAGTGTTCAATCAAATTTAAAATAACATAAAAATCACACGAATCTGCTTATCAATGAATTTAACTCTGTTCCGTCGAAAACACTGCCATTTATTTCACTTCGAAGTACGCACCTGTCCGTACGGGTAAGCCATATTTGTTCTGTAAATTTAGGAATACTATTTACAAAAAACGAAAAAAGTAATATTACAAATATAAGCACTTTGAAATATTGAACCAAACTAATATTGACTTAAAAATAATTATGATATATTCATTTTATAGTGATACTTAAAAAAGATAAATTCTAGACTATTTTGAAAGAGTCGTTTTGTAACATATTAAAATCTTAAATTTGAAAGACCGGTTGTTGATCGGACCATCTCATGACATGATTGAATCAGCGTTTGGAGTTACTATGTAACTAGCCTCACTAGGTCCAAGGTTCAGTTCAAACAATTATCTTCCACTTAGTTTGCTGTCACTTACCTAGAAGCTGCTGTTGCTCTTGGGGGCAAAATCTTCGAAATGTTGGCATATTTTCAGCTTCTAGTGATTTGTCTGTGTTGGACTGGAGTTGCGATTACAAAGGTAGGCCTACCTTCACTTTCATTTGACCAGATTTTATTCTTGAACTCTTCCAATTGTCTTATTCTTCAGTTTTGACTGTCGTATTATTACAATATTCTGTGTATGGCGAATTGGCGATACCCCATAAGGAGATTTACAAGGAGTTAGGTCGATAGGTGGTTGAAACCAGAAGGAGAGGACAGGAAAAATAACAATAAAGTACTTATTTGGTTGTACATATATTATGATATTCCTAACAACAATAATAAGTGCAGGCAATCGGCTCTTGACAGAGATTCTTATCATGATCTCAAGGACCGAGTGTCTTTGGCCATTTGGGATGTGGTTGAATACTGTGCCCCTCCCATATCTCAATGAAAATAATAAAATTATATTGAGGACCATGAAATGCCAAAACTAAAACATTAAATGAAACTGTCTTAGAAAACTATATGTAGTTTTCATTTCTGAAATATTTCAAATATAAATTAATGTCACAAACATATTTCACTTGCAGTTATATTCAAATATGTGTAGCAATTACACAGAAGTGTACATGTACATGCCCCCGCTTGGGATTGAACTCAGAGCCCCTGGCATGTCAATCTAGTGTTCTACCAATTGAGCTAAATTAAGGGTTAACCCGCTGGGCCAAGCTAGAAGGAAGTTGTGATTCACATGCTAACACATTGTCTCCCTCATCAGAATGAGATATCCTCATCTCTTTCAGAGTTTCAGTGTCTGTTGGGCAAAGTTTAAGGGACAATAGATGTAATGTCCATTGAAACCATTCATACTGAAATAATTATCTGTAATTGAATCTGACAGTGAGCCATAAAGTTCTTACAGTATGTTTATGTTTGTGAAGCTAAAGCCAACATTGTTTATATTATAAATTGGAGAGCATGGGAAAATTTTACTCTGTGTGAAAGTTTAGTCAGAATAAATGTGTATATATAATACAGTATAGTGTATATAGAATAAATAACCACACGTGTTATGTTTTGCCTCACAATAAGCAATTTTACAATAACTTTCACCCACCAGAGAATACCTGCATGGGTACCAATGTTGGCACCGAATGTAACACAGTTTATCTAGTTTAAGTGCCTCTGCTTGGGATTGAAGCTGGGACCTCTCACCTCTGGCATACAAGTCCAGTGCTCTACTGAATGAACCAAAAGGTTAACTTAACCCGCTAGTCCAATTAAGCTAGTAGAAAGCTGTGATTTATACACACTCCCACAGTTATAATAGAAAGATTTTCAAACAAAATATAAAAAACAACAATAATTTGTACAGTCTAGTAATTTGTTTTGATAAGCATGGTTTAAAAATGTTTATTGGACATATACTAAATATGACTGGTTTAAAACCATGAAATTTATTTACCAGAATATATATCTTTCATCACAGGGCTGTCAATTTTCTATAACTGGGGCTGTTAGAAGGTCCCTTTCCCAATTCAGATAAGGTAACTTTTTCCCCAAATGAATATATTGATATTAAGTGCATAGTAGAAAAACAATAAAATTTTAATCCTTGTCTTTTTTTAATCTAAAAGGAAACAATTAATTCCTGGTGTTTTGCAAGTCAAGTTGTATTGTGCATGAAATTTTGAAGGAAATTTTTTAAAAACAAGAATGGGGATCCATTAGGGCTGTCACGGTTCCAAAATTTTTCGGGTCGGGTCGGTTCTGATTTTTTTAAGGTTCGTTTTCGGGTTTTTCGGTTCGGGTAGGTAATGGAATAAAAGCTCATGATTTGTATTATTTTCAACAACAAAAAGAATATTTTCTTTTAATCTTAGAAATAACAACATTATAAGAAGTTTAAAGTAGTTTCCTGACTAGAAAACAATTGTACCAAATTATTTAAATCACCTTATAATGGTAGTGTACTAACAAATCTCTCGTTTTTGACGCCATTTTTATAGTAAAATCTTCTCTACTATACAAATCGGAACCGATCCGAATTCCAGAAAAACGGAATTGTACCCGACCCAAATTAATTGTTCCGCGGTTCCGGGTCATTTCGGGTACCCGTGACAGCCCTACGATCCATGCTTCATCAATCACTGATAGCCAGTTAATTGTATTCTTAGAGAACCTTCAACATTGTTCATAAATTTAGAAGAACAGTGTATCATCAATATTTATACTTGCAGCCAGGACTCTTTGCCTAAGAATTCAGATCTGTCTATGGTTTACCATTAAAATTTATTATACTATTTCTTTTTAGATATATAAATGAGATATCAGGGGTAATCCTGTGTTCCAAGTTCTGTGAAATATCCAAATTAATTGACATGTTGATGTAGATGGTTCTATAAAATTGCATTTCATTGACAAGTTATACATGCATGTATCAGCAGTACAAATTTAAGTATAGAATATGATTAATGGTTTTCAATATAGATTTGAGTTTAGGAAATCTTTCTTTCATTTGCAATAGAAATTTATGCAATATATTCAATGCATGTAATGTATATTATATAATATCATTATTAAGCATTGACCTAATCAGATAATCTGGTCAAGATAGACAAATATTTTCGATAAGATTATAAATAAGTTCAACAGGCTTTTGTTCACCTGAGCAATGTTACTTTCTCATGATTAGCTTAATTTATCTGGGTTTGTAACTATCAATACAGTGTCACATGTGAATATCATGTATATATGTGAACATTGGTACCACATTATATATGTGTTCCCCGTCTAGTAGGTCATATTCTGGACTGCATTTCTGCATTATTTACCTTTCATCATGTTCATTGTTCATACTATATGGTTATATTATGTGAAAGGAATTTCAAAGTGTTTATTATTACATAAAGTTTAAGGAAGTTTTTTTAAAGTTTGGATTTTGACATTTAATAATTATTAAGTGATATTTAAGAACATGCAAATCTTTAGAATTGTAAAGTATTGTTTATTTTATTCGAAGTCAAGACCCAGGTGTTGTTTAATATTTTAAGTATTAAAGAGCCAGCCCTGTTTTGTGTGCACCATAAATGATTTACATTTATAAAACAATATTTTATCATGTTTATATGCTGCCAATTTCAAGGCAGAAATTGGAAAAGACTATGTAACTAACTTTATAGATTACAAATTTACAAT